TAGATGTGGAGGTGGAAGACAGTGATACTGATGATCCTGACCCTGTGTAGGCCTGGGCTAATGTGGTATTTGTGTCTTAGCTTTTAACAAGAAAGTTTAAAAGGTAAAAAAATAAAAATAAAAAATTCAAAATGCAGAAAGAAGCTTATAGCCGGGCACAGTAGCTCACATCTGTAATCTCAACACTTTGGGAGGCCGAGGTGGGCGGATCACTTGAGTCCATGAGTTTGAGATCAGCCTGGGCAACATGGTGAAACCCGTCTCTACTAAAAATACAAAATATTAGTCAGACATGGTGTGGCATGCCTGTAATCCCAGTTACTCGGGAGCTAAGGCAGGAGGGTAACTTGAACCCAGGAAGGAGACGCTGCAGTGAGCCAAGATTGCACCACTGCACTACAGCCTGGGAGAAAGAGCGAAACTCTGTCTCAAAAAAAAAAAAAAAAAAAAGAAGTTTATAATGATATAAAGAAAATATTTTTATGTGGTTAAATAAGGTTTCTGTTTTAATGTGTTATTACAAAAGTCAGAAGATTCTGAAATATTAAAAACTTTTTAAAAGTTACAGTAAGCTCAGATTAATTTATTATTGAAGAAAGACAATGTTTTAAATAAATTTAGTGTAGACAAAGTGTATGGTGTTTATGAAGTCTACTGTAGTGTCCTAAGCCTTCATGTTCACTCACCACTCACTCACTGACTCACCCAGAGCAACTTCCATTCTCACAAGTTCTATTCATGGTAAGTGCTCTATGCAAATGTTCCACTTTTTAATCTTTTATAACATATTTTCACTGTACCTTTTCTATGTTTAGATATGTTTGGACACACAAATACTTACCATTGTATTACAATTGCCTGCCGTATTCAGTACAGTAACATGCTGCACAAGTCTTCAGTGTAGAAGCAATAGGCTAAACCATATTTTTTTGTGTTTGTGTAGTATACTCCATGATGTTCACACGATGACAAAACCATCTAAGAATCCATTTCTCAGAACAAGTCCCGTTGCTAAGTGACCAATGACTGGTGTTTGCTTTCTGTCTCTCTCTAAAAATATAGAAACATTGTGTTGGCTGAGCCATTTACAAATGACTTACTGACATCAGGATGCCTTATCCTTAAATTTTTCAGCAGCTATCTCTTAAGAACAAGGCACCATACCATTGCTATACCCAATAAATGTAATATTTATTATCACCTAATACAGACACAGAATTTTTTTGTTGTTGTTGGGGGAGTGATGGAGTCTCGCTCTATCACCCAGGCTGGAGTGCAGTGGCATGATCTCAGCTCACTGCAATGTCCACCTCCTGGGTTCAAGCGATTCTCCTGCCTCAACCTCCCAAGTAGTTGGGATTACAGGCACCCGCCACCATGCCTCGTTAATTTTCATATATTTAGTAGAGACGGGGTTTCACCATGTTGACCATGCTGGTCTTGAACTCCTAACCTTAAGTGATCTGCCTGCCTTGGCCTCCCAAAGTGTTGGGATTACAGGCATGAGCCACTGCGTCCAGCCTACATAGACACGTATTTAAATTTTCCCAAGTGCCCCAGAATGTTCTTTGTAAGTGTTTACAAGCTAAAGACCCAATTAAAGTTCATGAATTACATTTCACTATTATGTCCCTATAGTGTCATTTAATCTGAAACTGTCCCTTCATATTTTTGTGTTTATTTCTTGGCCTTGATAGTTTTTAAAAATCCGAATCAGTTGTCTTTTAGGGTATCCTGTATTTTGAATATGTCATATTGCTTTCTCATTATCAGATTTAAAGTTTTTGGGAAGATGACTAAGTGACAGGTACTTCGCACTGATTTATACAAGGACATGCATAAAAATCACATACTATCTATTTGACCCATCCACTGGAGATTTTAAGGTTAATCCCTTGGTTGCAGTAGTGTCTAAGGGATCTCTCCATTGTGAAGACACATTTTTTCTTTGTAATTAATACGTTTATTATGACTTGAGACTACGCGAATGTTCAGTTCTCTAAAAGCCCAGTGGTTTTAGCATCCAATAATAGTCCTTGCTTGGATCCGTTATTAACGATGGAAGCTGGTAATCTTCTGTAAAGAAACAGTATGTATTTTTGTCTCTTTTTCTCTCCCCACCTTTAAAAAAATACCTTTATAGTCGTCGGCACTATTTTTGAATTCAATGTTCTATAATTCATTACCATCATTCTTTTTCTAAGTTTAAATTGCCCCAGATTTGGTCCTTCAAGCAAATGTCTGTGTCCCATCAGTCTTGTAACATCTTGATGAGTCAGAAAAGACAAAAGTGCTCAAAGTTCACCTTATGCTTCATCTGCCTCAAACCTGGAAGCAGGCATTTCCTCAAACATCCCTGCTTCTGTGGAATAGTGTTTAGGAACCAAGACTGAAGGAATTCAGTGTGTTTGTTGTTTCTGGGTTATTGTTTCTAGGCCCTTTCAGAGGACAGAGCCAGAGTTAGTAGGGAGGGGCTTGGGGGAAAGAGCAGCCTTCAAGATTCCTGCATCAGAAATTCTGGACACACTGTTAACAATGCAAAGGAAAGAGGTTCACTAGGCGATCCTAAGGCTGGAGTACTGGAGTTATTAACTAATTTTAAGTGACATTTAAAAAAATGTCTTGGCCGGGCACGGTGGCTCAAGCCTGTAATCCCAGCACTTTGAGAGGCCGAGGCGGGCGGATCACAAGGTCAGGAGATAGAGACCATCCTGGCTAACATGGTGAAACCCCGTCTCTACTAAAAATACAAAAAATTAGCCGCGTGTGGTGGTGGGCGCCTGTAAATACCAGCTACTCGGGAGGCTAAGGCAGGAGAATGGAGTAAACCTGGGAGGCGGAGCTTGCAGTGAGCCGAGATCGCGTCACTGCACTCCCGCCTGGGCAAAAGTGCGAGACTGTCTCAAAAACAAACAAACAAACAAACAAAAAACAAAAAAAAGTGTCCTCTGTTCACATTTATTTTTTCAGCCAAGATCTCAAAAACAGTAAGACCAAGTTGTATCACAGAGTATCAGCAAAAATCATCCTTTTCTTGAGAAGCCTGCGAGATTCCAAAGTGACTGGATATGAGAGTTGCTTTGTGTGCGGAAGCACATCATGCTGCCAGAAGGTTCCCTGGAAGAAGATACCTAGATGCAGGACAATGGAAGAATCCAACTCTAGGATCTTGAGGTACATTAAGACATGGTCACCACTTGGGCTGGAAAACTCAGAGGCCAGTTCCAGAGATGATGCTATTCAAAAATGGTATGAGTTGCAGCCTAGCCATAGGTTTGGAATTCTAGGAACATCTGGTAGTTGCATTCTTGACCCTGATATTTGAATTCTAGAGTATTACACCACTAAAATGAAGGGGCTACACTAGAGAAACCAATAGTAGATAATAAATGTAAAGCATCCACATTCTGTGTCCTTATACATCACAGATGTGGCCAGCTGTACGCAAAGCAGGTTCATCTTTTCAGCCATCTTCTTTGGCTAATCTTTAAAAGTCTTGCATTAATAATCAAATGGAGACAAAGCAGTAGCAAAAATACTTTCAAGTTAGTATTCTTCAAATGCCAATTGTACTATAAAGTAGATACAAATAAACGAATCCACCAATGAAAAACCATGAAAAAAATGGTAAATATCTATAACAGGTATTACAGCTACAAATGTTTTACATGACTTTATCATTGAAATATATGTGACCTGCTTTGAAACAGAGTCAACGGCTTAAATAAATGATGACTTACATACCCGCAGCATCTAAAAACATAGTGTGGAAGAGTATCATTAAGACAGATAAGCGATCAATCGCGTCGTGGCCTACCCTGACTGCTCTGCGCTACATACCATAATCTTTTGCCCTCAGTGAACAACAAATTTATGTCACAAGCCCCAATATACCATTCCCTCTGCTCATGTGAATAAAGTTCCACGCACTGTATTCTACCTTCCCTGCTTCATGCTTCAGCATATAGAAAATCACGAGTGTCTGTTGTGTTGAAATAAGCGCAACTGTTACAGGAAGGCATGAGTCAGACTCGTTTAGAAGCCTACCTAAAATTCACCAAACACATGGAGACACTTTGGGGATGCCATTTTCAGTCACTTTATTGTCAGGAACTTTATTTTTAAACTAATTACAGGTACCCAAACATTGAAGTTCGAAAAATTAAAACAAACCAAAATGAGAACCTCAACAGCCATAGTTGTCTATCTGCTGCTTATTCTTGTGGCCAAAGAGGAATTCTACTAAATGTCAAATGAAGGATGTCACTAAACTAGAAGACAAGTTAAAGGGCCTTGTTGTCATTTCTGTCATTGTGGTGGCGGTTGTTGGCTTTCTTGGAGAAATATATCTGTGACTTTCTCATTTAATGGGCCTCTGGCCTTAATTATCAAAGCATCCCTTTTCCTAGAGGAAAAGACTAGTAATAAATACATACGGTATATTATCTAATATCTCTTATTGTCACCCCAGAAAATCTTACTAAATATAAAAGTGAACTACTGATTGGAATAGTGCCTGTCAATGGTGACTCAGAAATGATTTCCTGGATGATAAATACCTTTAACTTCATCTCTACTTGTTGCTCTCCCATCTCAGAAACTGATGACCTTCATTAAACCCCACGAGTTACTAGTTTAGTGACTGACTAGGGGGCTAGCAGGAAAGCTAACTCATAAGGCTGTGACATAAGCACTGAGGCATCCTAAAGCCTTATCTGGGTCACAATAAGTTACCTAGTTACCTATACAAACTCTACTCCACAGCCTAGCTCTGGAAAATCGGGGAAAAAGAGAGAGAGTTCAGCACCCATAACACACTCCTATGCCACTTCTTTTGCATTTCTTCTTAGCCAACAGTTGGGAGAGACTATTTTTTAGCTTGTTTCACTTTTCCTTGATCTTCTACTTTCTTAATGGCTGCTTGGATCGCCTCTTGGTCACCCAGGAACTGATGAGGCCCAACAGCACGCAGGTTTTCATCCAGTTCCAGAAGAATGGGGACTCCAGTAGGAAGAGTAATGTTGATGATGTCTTCATCTGAGATACCTGTTGATCAGGACAGGAAGAGACTAGGTGTTAAAAGACAACTCAGGAGGAAGTTCTGTTTAATTACATAACTGCACTTTAATCCCATTTAACTGTGTGCCTGAAATATGCAGGTACTGAGGGATTCCAGCTATAATTCCTGGAAGCCAGGAACTTTCCAGAAATTACAAGAAAAAAAGGCTTAGAGATTCACAGCAAGTGCTACATCAGGACAGTAGATACCTTTTGGGACAATCTGTTCCTGTTTCCTACCTAAATCTGAAAGGAAGGAAAATTATTTTCTCTATGCCCACATTTGTGTTACTAGTTTTCCAAAGAATCAGGTAATCTCAAAAAATCAGAAAGTGAACCAGGAGCGTTTTCTGTGTTTCTCCTTTTATGTGTTGTACCCAGGCTGGTACTAAAATTAGGATTTTTCGCTAATCTCTAAATCTAGTTCATTTGATTAGAATGTGTTTGGTTTTCCCACACTAAGTGAGCTTGCAATACCCAGAGCTAGATCCAGTCCAGCAGGAATGCTTTCCTAGGTGCTTAGAAAGCACAGTCAAGGGGAATCAGGAAGGGATTTTACAGCATGCCTGTGAACACAGTTCGCTCTCCTGTGGTCCCTAAACATTCCAGCTGCTAAAAAAGGAAGGTATATATAATACACAAGCCACCTTTAGTCCTTTTTAAAGTACAACCGAATTACAGATAATTCAACTTGGACCAGAAGAGTGGTAGTTGTAGTAGAAGTGGTAGTAATAATATTTTTTATTATTACAAGCACTTTTAACAAGAAACAGCAAACATATCCTGAGTACATATTTCATGCCAGGTACTCTTTTAAGCATTTTGTGTGTATTAACTCATTTAATCATCATTGCAATCCTATGACCATATATTATTTCTCCATGTAACAAGTTCTGGCACAGAGAGGTTAAGTAAGCAATGATCACACAGATAGTAAATGGCACAGCCTGGATTCAAACCTAGGGGTCTGTACCTACTGTGTAATGTAACTCCTCTCAAGTTTCTCTGATTTCAAAGTGAGCAAAGGGAAGGCCTGAGAAAGAGATGAAGTTCAACAAACTAAAAGACAACTGAAAGTATTCAAATTATCTACTTTAAAAATACTCCTTTATTAATTACATAGACTTCTGAATGCTAACCATATGCATCCTGTTCTATCTTAACAGAAAGGACCTAGCTGGAACAAGTTCAGGGGAGTCCAAGGGTTTGTCTTTACTTGAGGGTGGCAGAATAAGTTGTTATCAGTTAGCAATCAATGCACCTTTTCATTTTAATTAGCCACTGGTCCTAACTGTGAGCACCAGCCAAAGAGTCACAGAATCGTAGCACTGGATCCCTACTGCTGGGCTGGCTCTTTATTAGAATTTCATGTCAAGGCCTAGAAGAGCTACCTAATAACTCGTATACACAAACTATCCACACTCAAACAACTACGAAAATGGAAAGGATCTTAACTTGGAAGACACAGTCTCTTCCAAGTAAGTGTACTGTCCCATCACCTCCCCCGCCAATCCCCCTGCAATGTCCTTTGCAATTTTAGGCAAGTAACTTCTCTGGACCTCCAATTCTCCTGTCAATTAAAAGAAAGAACAAACGAAAAACACACACTCTTCCTTTGCCAGCATTTTAAAGGGTTGTGGGATAAAAGGGGTGGCTTAAAAGAGAACATACATGAAAAAAAGGTAGCACAATAAGTCTCTCTTCTTTCTCTATTAGGAATTCCCTTCTAGGTAGAAGATTTAAAGGGAAGGTTACTAAGATACCCCTTTGCCCTGCCAAGCCCCCACCCTCACACTGCAACCTTACAGAAGATTACCATCACAAACTACAGCTGCTGAGAACAAATCTATTCAGACCAGACCACTAGCTGTTTAGCAGGGAGATGACTGCTCTAGATTCTTAGCACCTTCCGGCTCCATCAGGTCAGAAATGTCAGCTAGCTGCACAACAGCCACCACATACATCCCTCGGAAAGAGCAGGTGGGGAAGTCAACAACCTGTCGTTTGGAGTCAGGTGACCACTGAGCCTTTCAAATCCAACAGTGCTCACTCCCAAATCCAGGGGAAGCTCTGGAGGTCTCCAAACCTAACTCATTCACTAACTAGTAACTGAGGGCTCTTTATGTTCCTAGTACTCTGTGGCAGAACATGTGCGAGTGACCTTGGCCAAGATTTTACCTCCAATGAACTATTTCTTCATTTATAAAATGAGAGAGGATAGTCTCTCTAGCACCAACATTCCTTTATTTTATTCTTAATGGTTAAGAAAAGCAGAGGCACCTTAGAGACACAAGAGCATGAGGACACTGAGTACTGTTTATATTCATCTACTGTGCAAGGACCATGCTTTATCTGTTTCCAGAGTCTGTAAGCATATTGCTCACTAAATTGGAGAGAAAAATGGATTTTATAGATTTCTCCAAATAATCTAAATTCTAAAAATTAATTTGTTAAAAGATAACAAAAGTGACAAAAGTGACCATGTTTGACTAAAGTTTACCAGGAGAAGCAGAAACTATGGGTGTACGTATCTATCAGCATCTCGGATTCACCACTCATAGATGTGTGCCTTTGCAGTGTCACCAACCATTAATCTTAAGCTCTTGAATCCACGACTTTATTGTAGAACGACTGAACATTCTACTTCTATTCAACATTGTAAGATTCTAGCCAAGGCAACTAGGCAAGACAATGAAATTAAAGGCACCCAGACTGGAAAGGACAAAGTAAAACTATCTCTATTTGCCGAAGGTATGATCCCACCAATAACCTGTTAGAACTAATAAATTCAGCAAGGCTGCAGGATACAAGAACAATACAGAAAAGGAAATTGGGTTTTTAATACAGTAGCAATAAGCAACATGAAATATTAAGTAAACAATTCTATTTATAATAACATCAAAAAGAATAAAATGCTAAAAATAAATTTAACCCAAAAAGTACAAAACTATACTCTGACTACTACAACACAGTGTTCAAATTAAAGAAAATCTAAATATGTATTTATGGATTAGAAGACGTAACACGTATCAAGAGGGCAGCAATCCCTAAATTAACATACAGATTCAATACAATCCTATCAAGAATCTCAGTGGACTTTTTTGTATAAATTGACAAACTGATCTTAAAGTTCATGTGGAAATCTAAGGTACTCAGAATAGCCAAAACAATATTGAAAAAGAAGAAAAAACCAAGGGACTCATAGTTCCTGATTTCAAAACTTACTACAAAGCTATAGCAATCAAGATAGACACAGATCAATGAAATAGAATTGGGAACCCAACATAAACCCTCATATTTTTTATCAATAGATTTCCAACAAGTGTGCAAAGGCGATGAAATGCATAAAGAATAATCTTTTCAACAAATAGTACTGGGATAACTGTATATCCACATGTAAAAGAATGAAGTTGGATCCCTAATTCACACTTCATAAAAAAATTAAATCAAAATGAATCAAAAACTTAGAGTCAAAAGCTAAAATTGTAAAAATTTTTTAGAAAAGAAGCCATAGGAGTAAAGTCTTCATGACCTTGAGTTAATTAATAGTTTCTTAGATATGACACCAAAAGCATACACAAGAAAAAAAAATAAACTGGCTATATAAAAATTTAAAAATGTTTGTGCTTCAAAGGACACTATTAAGAACATAAAAAGGCAACCCAGAGAATGGGAGAAAAATTTGCATAGCATATATATTCTAGATACAAGTTCCTTATCAGATATAAGAACTGCCTCCAATAATAAAAAGACAAATGATCAAATTTTAAAATGGGCAAAAGGTTTGAACAACCATTTCTCCAAAGATATACAAATGGTCAATAAGCACATAAAAATAGGCTTAATATTACTAGCTATCAAGGGAATGCAAATCAAAACCACAATGAGATACTACTTTGTACCCACTAGGATGGCAACAATAAAAAGTCAGATTATAAACAAGTGTGAGTAAGCATGTGGAGAAACTGGAGTCATAATACACTGTAAAATCAGGTATGCAAAAGGCTATAGCCTCTTTGGAAAACAGTCTGGCAATTCCTTTTGTTACACACACATCTACCATATGACCCAGCAATTCCACTACTAAGCATATACCCAAGAGAAATGAAACATGAGTCTATATAAAACTTGTACACAAACCTTCATAGCAGCATTAATCATAATAGCCAAAAAGTGAACACAACACAAATGTCCATTAGCTAATGAACAGATAAATTAAATGTGGTATATACATACAATAGAATATTATTTGGCAATGAAAAGGAATGAAGTACTGATGCAAACCACAATAAGGTTCTTGGAAGAACCTTGAAAGCATGATGCTACTAAATAAAAGAAGTCAGTCACAAAGGACCACTTATTGCATGAGTTCATTTATATGTAATGTCCACAACAGGCGAATCTATAGTGACAGAAAGTAGATTAGTGGTTGCCCAGGGCTGGGTGGAATAGGGGAGGGACTGAGGGGACAGTAACAGCTAAGGGGTGCTGGGTTTCTTTTTAGGGTAGTGAAAGTGTTCCAATATTAATTGTGGTAATGGAGTTACAATTTTGTGAATACACTAAAAGTCATTTAACTGCATACTTTAAATGGCAAATTGCATGGTATGTGAATTATAATGCAATAAAGATGTTAAAAAATAGTAAACAGGGCCCAGTGCGATGGTTCACGCCTCTAATTCCAGCACTTTGGGAGGCCAAGGTGGGTGGATCACCTGAGGTCAGGAGTTCAAGACCAGCCTGGCCAACATGGCAAAACCCCGTTTCTACTAAAAATACAAAAATTAGCCAGGCATAGTGGTGCGCGCCTGTAATCCCAGATACTTGGGAGGCTGAGGCAGGAGAATTGCTTGATCCTGGGAGGAGGAGGCTGCAGTGAACCGAGATTACACTCCAGTCTGGGTGACAGAGCAAGACTCTGTCTTTAAAAAAAAAAAAAAAAAGTAAACAGATCCAGAGAGGTTAAATAAACCTGCTCTAGTCACAGG